CACGGCCATTGTTGCCAGTGCCAGCGGAGAGGGCATAATTTACGGTGAAAAACTGTTTTAACGGCGCGCGGTGCTCCCGTCGGGAAAAGCAAAAAAACAGGAAATGGCTCCTCCCCGCTCGGCTGGGTGTCGGCGTTGGGCGGCAGAGATGTGAGGAGCGGGGTTTGTCTGCGGGACGACTTATTTTCGCGCTCCTGGACCGAGGAAGAAGCAATTCCAGAGCGATGATCTCTGACCCTTCACACCGACTTCCTTTTTTGCTTCCACACCCTTGTAGCCAACACATACCACAAGCCTGCGACATCCACTGTCCCATTAATCACCCCGGTACAAAGCATGTGGAGGGCGGCCATTAGCAGGACTGGGTCACAGACTACTTCATTTTCTCGTTTTGCTTAAAAATGTCCTCTTAGATTCTGTTATTTCACATAGTTTTTTAATTACTTTTCTTTTTCTGTTAATGTAACTCTTGCTGATTCTTCTTCTGATTGTCTTTTTCTATTTTTTTGTCTTTGCATCCTGTCATCTCTCACTAACCTTCCTGAAACCTTAACCCCTCTCTGCATCTGCCTGATTAACTTGAACTTCATCTCTGATCCCTGTGTCTTTTCTCGCTCGCCCCTTCACCTCTGGCTCCTGTCTGTGCTCTGTCCACCTCATGTTTCACCTCTCTGTTGCTTGCTCTTCACCCATCCCTCTTTCATTGCTCGCCCTAGCACACTGGCTGGACTCTTCATATCTGAGGAACATACAGAGCCAACCCGAGCCAGAGTACAGTAAGTCCCAAGCACTTGTTTCTCTCTCTCTCTTGTCTTTGGCTCACTCTCCTGTTACCTGCTCCACTCAGTTTAAAGCGCATTCACGTCCCAAAACAATCAGATAACATTTCAGGAGAGGCTGAGCCCGGGCATGCAGTGTTTAAAACCCAGCAACTGTTTTTCCAAGTGTCATTCCCAGGCCTTTGCTTTGTGATTTGTAATCCTTGTGGAAAAAATGATGAAGTCGTTCCATTAAGTAATATTGCTCATCCTGCCCTAGAAATTCCATTTCCACTTTACTGGAGTCTGATTTCTTTGAAAATCAGAAAAATGTGCCGTTCGCTTTCATCTGAAAAGATCTTTCTTAAATGATATCAGACTCATGAAGGCAGCTCATCCCCATTAAACAAATGATGTGAAAAATAAGCCTTCATGTGAACAAGGATGTTTTTATTCAAACATTAATGGCTGTGGGAATGCAGAAAGAGACCAATTTAACAGCAAAGCCCCAATTCATTCCCCAGAGTCCCCCCTATGAGCCACTGAGTGGACATAGAGAAAAAGGCTTTTTGGCCAATCATCAGAGCAGGGGTTAAGTAATAGGGCTCCTTTTTTTCCTTTTTTTTTGTAAGGGTTAAGATGTGAAGGAAGCAGCTGAAAAATGAATCCATAATAAGGCGAGAGAAACTCCTAAAGAAGAGACTTAGATGAAAGAAAGAGAAGAAAGCCCATGGTAGATAGGGAAAAGCATTTGTAAAGATGTTTGATGGTGTTCTGTGGTTTGGACCCTTCTCTTAAAAGTCCCGGTTTTCCCCTGGTCCCCGTTCAGATGGCCGGGTCGGTGCCGTGGGCTCTGCCTCGGGGGGGGTTAAAGGTCAAGCCCGATGTGGCTGGGCTTTAAAGGCCAGACTGGGCTTGCTTGCTCAATCAGGTCTTTGTCTTCCGCGTAGGCCTCCATGTGTTCGGAGGGGGGCCCGCAGCACAAAGCTGCCACAGTTCTACCCAACAGCTTTAACAGCTAAATAAGTTTCTGAATTAAAAGTGTGGAATGCAATTTTTACAGAAGTTTTTTTTTTCCCCCATACCGCACGTATCTGGTTCGCACTTTGACAGTTTCATCAATTTTAATGGTGGCGAGGCTGAAAAATGGGGGATTTCCCTCCGCTCTTCGGCTGGATACAGACTGACACGTAGGAGAGCAGATCTTAGAGGAATAGAGCTGCTCGTTAGCAGCGGGGCGCAACCCGGCGCTCTAATCAAAGGCTCTCTCCGGGCTACAGCTCCCCTCGCCAGTCCCTAGTCCGTAAGCTCAGAGAGAACCGCAGCTACCGGCCACTGTCGAGCGAGCGGCAAGTGATTCAATTATTCCCGGGTCAAATCAGGGGCTTTGATGAGCAACTTTGATGTTGCGCGTCTTCTGGGACCACGTCCAGGCCTTACAATTATTACTACAAATGTTACAGTAACAGCCCGCCGAGCGGTCATTCAGGCAGAATTTCAGACGGAGCCCGCGGATGCGTGTTCACCTCATTGGGTTTTCATAGGCGGTGCTCAGTTTTCTTTGTCGTAAATGAGGCCTTTTCCTGACCAGGAGTGAGATGTCTTACGGAGCCATTGTTGTGTGCGTAGAAAATCGGGGTTGGTTGTGTTGAGAGAAGTCAGCATGTTCTGACTGTGAGACAGGAAATCTTTGAATAAAGTGGCTGCTGGTAGGCATGAGACGCAGTTTAGTACAGTTAGATATGAAATATTCAGTCAGTGGCATATCAAATGTAATGGGGGGAGGTTTCGTTATTACTGTTCATTATTTTTTTAAAGCTGTTGAGGGCCTCGAGGTGATTGAGGAATAATTAATTCAAAGCTTTTCCTTATAGATGTGGCTATTTCCTCTAAAAACAAATCTTAGTGGGATCAGCGAATGAGAGATTCAGAGAGAGGTCTTTGGATTTGGACACTGTCAAACTGGCTCACTGCTTCTGAGGAAGAAATTAAAAGAAACACATAGCAAAGAGCCTTAAAAATATCTGTTTATTGGCATTTATTGTTCAGATCAATCTTCCTTTGTCAGAGAAACTTGAAGAATACAGTATCTGAAAGCCTGGGTGGTTCGTGATCCAAGGCAGACAGAACATCATCTGTAAAACATGTGGAGGCAAACATTCCCGTGGCACCGAGTGTGTATCGATGAGGTGACAGAGGCAAGCAGATCAATTCCACAGTGCACAGAGAGGGTGGTCGCATTTTGCTGGAGAAAAAAAACAGTAACCTCAAACACCTGCCGACATGCAACAGAAGACACCCATTGGCTGGTGAGGTCTGTGGTATCCAGACCTGTTTGTTATCACGTGAACTTTCTATAATGACACCAGCTATCATTTCTGAGGTCCGGCTGCCTTGACACTCAGGTGTGTGTTGGTGGAATCCAATGGAGGAAAGTCATCTCCACCAACCCCGAAGCGGTTCTGTGTTCGTTATTCTACAGTGCGAAATTACAGTTGAACAATACACTCCTGCAATAAAAGCCTTTAATAAAAGTCCAGGCCATTGTGGAGATGTTTGGCTGTAACGTGCAGCACATCTGGAGAGAATCAAACTCCTTATATCGGCTGTTGAGCACTCGAACACCTCGCCAGCCATTGGTAGGACCATGACCTCTTCTCTACACTAAAGTCAGATTTAAGACCACCCCTCTGACGGCCTATGCTGTAACAATAATGAACCCAAACACAACAGCATTTGCACAAAATAAAGGAGGTTTTGAAGACCTCAAACTTCTAGTAATGCTTTAGTGGGACCATATGAGAGGTGTATATAAAGAAATAACTGCAAACATCAATAGACTCTATAAAATCAAATGGTCGACAAAACTATTACTTAAAGTCATTGCTCCTGTAAGTGTTTCTAGAAACTGTTAAATCATTTAAATGTAGCTTTTATACATTGTCTTGGTTTATTTAAATAAATTACTCTTGGGTAAATGGGTAAAATGAGTATCTGATGTGCTATATACTTCATTGTTAAACCTGCTGAGAAAGAGCTGCTACTTTTAATGTCAGAGAGCTGAAAAACCTTTGGGTTTAGAGAAGTTGTTCCGTGTTTTCTTGCGTCACTGTAATTATTTAAGAGAAAGAGACACGAAGAAACAACATTGTCTGTCTGCGGATGGATTGTTTTGCTCATATTTGGGCATGAACGGTTGCAACCAGAGGCAGAGGAGATACCTACTTAGAGCTCGACTCTTTGCTTCTGGCATGTCAAGTAGCAAATGCAGGGGGAAACTGGACAAATATTGACTTCCTCCCTGAATCCACGGTGCTGCTCTGTGTTCAGAGGCTGGCAGGCCGGTCCCAACAAAGAGCTGGCATCTATGTGAGGACGAGGCGCCCTGCCGCTCTGAACTATTTAAACTGAACTGTTTCATGGACTTGGCCTCTGACACTGGAATCATAGTAGTACACTGCCATATGTACACAGTGACTAAAACGTAAAGCTGATCGATGTACTTGTATGGAGGCAAACCACAAATCAATCCCACAATGTTATCGAGTTGTGAACTTGGTTTGTCTTTAACCGCTTGCTTTCCAGCGCATTGTTAAAAGGCTGCTTTCATATTTTCTTTTATACCCACGTTCTATGAAAGATGGAGTTTTTCAAATCTATTTATTGATTTGAAGTTCAGATATTTGGAATTTGATTCATGCCAAAAAGCGTCAAATAACAACATGAGACAGAGTGTACATAATCAAAACAGGAAGTTTGCAGATGCGAAACCCAACTTGGGATTTGGAAATAAATCATGTGTGTAATGGAGAAAGTATTGGTCTGACCGTATTTACTCCTTCCAGTTCATTGCCTCTGCCTGGTACCTCGGGTCATTGCTAAAAGGGGCTTTATCCACATCTGCCCGACGCTCAGTCGATTTTCGAGGACAGTGTTAATTAATGCACCGAGATGTCAAAACAACCAATTCTTGCTAGTTGACTTATTTGCCAGATATCTCTAGTGTTCGGCTTAATTTGTCCGCCGGAAAGGACTTGGAACTAACAAGCCGAAAGCCCATCATCACACACACTTGGCCTTGTCAGGCGGCTTTACACCCAACCACAAACTGAGACAAGAGACGGGGCTCCCATTTAAGCCACAGTAACATAACGACACGATGTGGCCTGGGATTTTTCGACTCGACAAAGAGCTTGTGGTCGTCTCTTAACGTGACTGACGGCTCCTCCTCCCCTCCCTGTTCTCAGTTTATTACAGGGCTCTCGTCAACTTCACCAACTCCGTGGTCTATAGCCCTCGGCTGGAGGATATCTTCTCCGCAGAATTTAAGGAGATTTCAGAGGCAGTGATGGATACGGTAGGTCTGGTCTAATGACTTATTTAATGCATTCTTTAAGTATCAATGAATTGGTTTTAATATTCAACCCATGTCTTTTATAGCATTTTTACATTCCATTCTCATGATGTCTTTATTTGATCTTAATGAATCATTAATTTGTGTGTGTGTGCGTGTATGTGTGAGTGCGTGTTTGTGTGTGTGTGTGTGTGTGTGTGTGAGAGAGAGAGTAGTTTTTTTTTATAGATTTTAGATTTTTTTTAAAGATTTTTTTCATCTTTCCTGAAGATTTCTCCTTTGCTGTTTTTAATTGTCCAAGGCCCTTTGTGTTCCATATATTTTTGTGAAAGGAAGGGCCGCACATTTGATTTCTCACCTTCCTGGTGTGAAAGTGTGTCTGAAAATAATGTTTATTTCAGTGTAACTGAGTTTAGTTTCCCCCCTCCTTCCACCAGCTGGAGTCGGACTACAACCGGATCCCGGGTTACCAGACGGTCAACGTGGTCCTCATTAAGTAAGAGCACACATTCGTCCAATCACGGGTGTCTCACCAAGTAGTGGACACCCGAGGACACTATTGCATCATCAATTAGTGGGTCCCAACAGTGCAATCTGAAGTCAAACTGAAGCTTTCAAAAAAACTCGCCTCACCCTTTGCCTCTCACGCCTGTCTTTTGCAGAAAGGTGATAAGAGAGGACGGCGTGGATGTGTTCGTGGAGCTGGACGTTGGCTCCGAGTACAACAGCAACGAGGCCGAGATCCGCAGCGTGCTCTACAACGTGGTGAGGGAGGGGGCCATCGCCTCCTACGTCACGTCGGTGGACGGCTTTCAGTTCAGGCAGCTGGGAAAAGGTGAGACCTCCGAGAGCCGCGGTTTCCCCGGCTCAGTTTGTAGCGAATGAGGGGCTCAGGCAATCCGGCGTCAGGCAGTTTCCTCAACGTCTCCCTTTGGTTTCTAGCCGAAGCTCTGCCCTCAAAGGAGCCCATAGCGTGGCCAGGTTTGTACTGTGCCATGCCTGCTGCATGGAGACGGCGGTCAGCTGCACCGTAGAGATTGTAGGATGAATGTAGTGCCTTTTTTTGCGGCGGAAAGTTTTTCAAATTTCCGTAGATGTCACGATGCCTTTTACTTTTGTATGAGCCATGGTCATGTGATCTGAGGACTGATTTGCACGGGGGCACAAATGACTGCGCGTGGTCCCTGGAGTTGGCTGTGTTTAGAGAACAGAAAGGACCCTCGCATGGCATGATTATGTCTGCAGTATGGACCATCTATGGATGTCTGCAAGTCTTCTTTTTTGTCTTTAGATAAGCATGAAAACTGACTCTAAACTACCTTTAATGTGCAAAGTGTTTTGATTCCTCTCTTGTCTTGTGATCCACATGAAGCTAAATGTGAGCATTTTTGCACATGAACATTCGCTGATATTTGAAGGGTGAGTTTCAGGCACATTTACAGCAGATCCAGAGCTAAGATGTAGAATTAGACCTTCATAATGACGCCCGGTGTTTGTTTAGATGGGATTCCGTGCGTTTCTTGGCGAGAGTCTAAAGCAAAAACCACAGACCTGCAGAAAAAAAGTCAGCATTCTCTTCTACATTTTTCAGAATTACCAAAAACATTTCCCTACAAGCCTGGACAGATAGCTAGAGGCATTAGCACCTCAAAAGAACATCAAGAAAAGTTTTCAGGGTTTTAGTTCATGTGTGAAAATGGCTTTACGCCGCATGCACGTCTTACCTGAACTTACCAAATCTGTTAAGCCTGGCCATTGTTGTATTTCCAGTCCTATGTGTGAAGTGTATCTGATGCGGTGAGCATTCCAGCTCAGTCTGTGTGTGTCTGTTTTGTCTAATCTTCTGTGTTTAGTCTATCAGGTGTGATTTAGTTTGTGTTCGTTCGGCAGCTCGAGTCTGCCGTGGCTTTCTGTTCTCATGTTTGTGTTTGAGATCATCGTGCGTGTCTCGTGGGATTGAGAATTGCATTTTTTATTTTAAATCGCACAGCGGGTTTCTTTCCGAACCTAAGTTTTAATACACATAATCACTAGAAACCGGATTCGCGGCTGACGTGTTGTGAGGCTTTTGTTGCCACGTCGGTGTGGTATTTTGGCTGCGTTGTAGTGTTGGCTTGCATGTTTTTTGATCCTTCAACATAACCCCCCCCCCCATCTCTCACAGTCGTCGTCACTCAAAGACCCTGCATGGCAGATGAGCACAGGTGTGGTGATGGAACGTGCATCCTGATGGAATTCCTGTGTGACAATAGACCCGACTGCAGAGATTTGAGTGATGAGGCCAACTGTGGTGAGTGGTTTGATTTTCTGTCCGGCCGGCGGGCAGGTTGTAACACATCTGGGCTCTCGGTTTGACGTGAGATACAGAGGCTTGCAGTAAAAAAAAACCCTACGCGTCGTCCCGTTTGGCGATTTTAACCGAGGGTTCGTTTACAGAGACGATAAAGCCCCTGGGGCCGCGCTTTACCACCCCGCCCACCACCACCACCACCACCACCACCACCGTCAGGACCAAAGTGGTGGCCCCGGTCTTCCCCGGGCCGTCTTTGCCCTGCAGAGCGGATCAGGCCACATGCCAGAGCGGCCAGTGCATCCCACGAGACTACATCTGCGACGGAGAAAGGGACTGCTCAGACGGAAGTGATGAATTCAGATGTGGTGAGTTTTACGAGCTTTTGGGCTTTGAGGCCAGATTTAGCCACATTAAAATGAGATGTGAAGTATTAATGACAAAGGGATGTTCAATCTTGTGTCATATGTTAAATATTGTGTCTGTTCTTAATGTACCATCTGCTATTCAACTCCATTAACTATAATGATCAGGGGATGCAAGTGACCAATAAAACAATGTAAACACTTCATGGGGTAAAGCATTTTACAAGGCTAATCACATTTACAGGCAAGGCCTCAAAAGGTGGGTCACATTTAGCAGAATGGGTTTACTCAACACAAGTAAATTTTTTTTAAAAAGCTTGCCATTTGAAATTAAAAAGTACCTTTTGGCTGGTGCAGATTGTGCAAAGGGATGTACTTAATAAGTTCAAATTTTAAGTAAGTCTCGTATAAAATATTCATTTTATCTGCTCGTCCAATGGCATCTTCCATTTAACTCCGTATCTAAGGAGCTACCTTTGTCTGGAAGATTGTGTCATTTTCTTATCTGGAGTAACTCAAGATTATGGGTTTTAAAAGCATCTCAAAACTTGACATGAGCAACAAAAGCCTAATCTGTTCTAAAAACAAATGAAAAATGGCTAAATGTGTATGGTTTCGTTCACCCCGTTGCCTTTTCACAGGCACTCCGTCTCCCTGCGAGCCCAACGAGTTCAAGTGTAAAAACGGCCGCTGCGCCCTCAAACTGTGGCGCTGTGACGGCGACAATGACTGCGAGGACAACTCCGATGAAACGGACTGCCGTAGGTCCACTTTTTTTCTCTGAAATTTGAAATTGACACGCAAAGAAATCATCCCCACTCGCTCAGTTGCCGTCACAATAAAAGCCTCTCCGACCCGGCGGCTGGTTACAACTTATTATTAGTTGCTGTAAATCTTTTTTTTTTTTTCCTCCCTAACAACAGCTACCAAGGGTCCCAATGACAGCTGTGCTCCGGAGCAGTACGAATGCCAGAGCGATAACACCTGCATCCCGGCCAGCTACCAGTGTGACGGCGAGTCGGATTGCGCCGACAGCTCTGATGAGAGGGGCTGCAGTAAGTCTCCCGCCAACAGCTGGAGGGCAGCTTTTTTTTTTTTTTTTTTACGCGTGAGAACTCCGTAGCCGAGAGCCGCGGGGCCTCCTCCAGCTTATCGAGCGTTCACGAGCACTTTTTTTTCACACGCGCACATTTATTATGTAGCTGCTGCCGTTGTTTTATTTATTTATGTATTTTGCGCTCTGCACACTTTACACTTTACAGCCCCCCCTTCCGTCGTAAGCCCACCGGAGGAGTCCGTTCAGGCAGCGCGGGGGTCCACCGTAACGTTCACCTGTCGGGCCGTTGGGGTCCCAACACCCATCATCTCCTGGAGGCTCAACTGGGGACATATTCCCGTCAGCAACCGGTGGGTTTAATGAGAAATTCTTCACAGGACTGCAATAAAAGCTGAGACAATTTATTTCTCGGGGACTCGTTTTGCATGTAAGCTGTCATGAAACTTCTGG